AGTTCAGTCCATTTCTTGCCGTCACTTCCACCGTCATTAAACGTCTGCACCACTGCATTCCTTTTTCTTTTTCTTTTTTTTTTGTAAAGATTTTTATTTTCAACTTTACAATACATAACAATCTTACAAATACTTCAGATAAAAAATAAAACAAATTGATACACACCACATTCGGTCTTGCCCGCCCATTTCCCCCCAAACCACATCCCACCTCAAACCAACTTACTTCTTTCCCTCTTTTTCTTCACTCACCCCCTCTCCTCCTTCACCTCAACCTTCCTACTTACTTCTCACCTTCTTCTCCTCCCTCTTGATGCGGTCCAGGGGAAATGCCCGAGCAGTTTCTCTCTCAAAATTAAAACATTAATATTATATACAATAAGACTATTTCTACTTTATCTGAACTACTTAAACTTCAACTTTCAAAAGCCAATAGAATAAAAAGGAGTAGCACAGCTAAGGAAAAGGGGGAAAAAATGGCAGACTGCGTTGTTTGGCGACCCCCGTGAAATGGTCGTTCGACCCCAAATGGGGTCCCGACCCACAGGTTGAGAACCACTGTTCTAGAAAGAGTGCAGAGAATAGTAGTAAAAATGATTAAAGAATTGGAGGCTAAAACGTATGAAGAACGGTTTCAGAAATTGGGTATGTCTAGTTTAATAAAAAGGATGGGGGGGAGACATGATAGCAGTGCTCCAATATCTAAGGGGCTTCCATAGAGAAGAGGGGGTCAACCTATTCTCCAAAGCACCTGAAGGCAGGACAAGAAGCAATGGATGGAAGCTAATCAAGGAGAGAAGCAACCTAGAAAAAAGGAGCAATTTCCTGAGTGGTTAGAACAATTAATCAGTGGAACAACTTGCCTCCAAAACTGTGAGCACTTCAACATTGGAAGTTTTTAAGAAGAGATTAGACAACCATTTGTCTGAAATGGTATAGGATTTTTTGGTTGAGCAGGTGGTTGGACTAGAAGACATCCAAGATCCCTTCCAACTCTGTTATTCTGTTATTCTGTTGTTCTGTATTTTCTTTTTTTTTACCATTCAGCCATCACCACTATTATCTTTCACCTTCAACAGGAGGTGACAAAATATAACTTGGATGCATTCCTTTCCTATTTTTTTAAACATTTAGTTATGTCATATTTCTTTCTAACAGTTACTTCCTGGTCATAAGACAATCTTTAATTGGCAGATGAGGTAGCCCGGGTACACTACTCTTTTTAAGGGATATTTATAAAATTTTGTTATGGTCACCATAGTCAAAAGCCATTCTATACTTAGGAACATCCTTGCCTTTTCCATTTTCCACTGGATGCACATCTGTCTTCTGAATCCAGTATATCTATCAAGTCTTATTTTATTATTGTTGAAATCTAGATTGCAACATCTTGCTAGCTTGTAAGATGGGGATTTATTATTATTATTATTATTATTATTTGTTATTATTATGCTAATTTGAGCACTTTTTACGCTGCCCCTTTTTTATTCTGGAATATAAATTGTGGTTATATTTCTCCTAATTCTATGACCATTGCTGTGTTTTCTATGTCTGTTTACAAACTATATGTAGACCTTTACCAGATTTGGTAGCTGTAATTAATCACTGCAAAATTACAATGACAATTGTAGTTTGTTACAATTATTACAATGCAATAACAAGTGCATCATGAAAAGCTGCAGTTTTATGTTTTAGTCTTCAGAGCAATTTTTGTAAATTAAATTTAAACTGCTTTATAACCCTCTTATTCACCATATTGATGATTTTTATTCAGTGTTATACTACTAGAAAGAAGCATTTCTGCTTTAAACTAGCATCCTGGCAAGTATATTTTACATTTAATTACATAACAGCATTCAAGCAAGAAGTATTTTTAACCTTAATTTATTGCCATTTTAAGAAAAATGGATAATGTTCCTTGCTTGTTTATACTTAATCATCTTCTTGCCAAGCCTTTCTCTTACTCTCCAATTCCTTGAAGCAAAGTTATAGGCATCCATGCTTATAAATAAGTTAAAATAAAACTTAGTTTTCGTTTTACCATTATTTACACGGAAATACGATCACTGGATTTGGTAGAACTTATTTCCTAGTAAGCATGTAGTACTACAATTGTATTTTGAAGTACTGTAATTATGTTAAAGGTTAGGGTTTCTTCTTTCTTCTCTATCTATGGATAGAATAATGAGAGATCCAAGGCAAATGTATCCTGTAAACTATTATTTATCTCATAGTTCTTCACAAAGAATTATGGGAATTGTTATTGGATGAGGTTCTAAGAATTTATTATTTGCCTGAGTTCAGATGCAGAGGTGTCAAACTGCTGGCCCATGGGCAGGTTTCATCATACCGGAGCTGCGCCCACCCCATTGCCGGCAATGGCGAAAAAGCTCCAATACGTTGCGCGAAGTCACGTGACATTGCGAGTTTGACATGTCTGTTCTGATGCAAAATGCACACAACATACACACACACACACCATCAGCAACCTATTGGGGTCACTCCAGGACAAAAAAAACCCCTCCAGGCTTTTGTGGGAGCACTTAAGGAATGGTAGAAGATGTGCATAAACCAAAATTAACTTTAACTTTTGAGCTTCTGACCATGGTTTACAGATTACACAGTGTGCTAAGTAATTGCCAGAGACCTAGACCACAGACATCTGCTATTTTCTGAAAATTAAAACTAAAGGCCTACCTTGAAATATAGAATAATTCATTCTGTATCCTACACTCTAGATCAGGGGTAGGCAACCTTGGCCCTTTTATGACTTGTGGACTTCAATTCCCAGAATTCCTGAGCCAGTCTGGATTTGTCCTTTACTCTGTGCTTTTGACTATGATGGATGTTAAACAAGAGTTATCTGGACAGTTTTACAACATTTACTCATTTGTGTACAACAGGGTTGGAAGGGACCTTGGAGTCTTCTAGTCCAACCCCTTCCAAAGCAGGATTCCTGATGCCATCTCAGACAAATAATTGTCCAGTCTTTTCTTGAAACCTCCAAGTGATGGAACACCCGGAACTCTAGGAGACAAGCTGTTCCACTGATTAGTAGTTCTCACTGCCAGGAAATTCCCCCTTATTTCCAGGTTGCATCTCCTTTTGACGAGCTTCCACCAATTACTTCTTGTCAGATGCTATGGAGAATAAATTGACACCTTCTTCCCTATGGCAGTCTTTTAAATTAACAGCTAATGGAACTAAATATGTTTAGCTTAACAGAAAGAAGACTGGGGGAGAGACATGATAGCAGTCTTTCAAATATAGAAAGACTGTTATCATGTCTCCCCCCCTCCAGTCTTCTTTTTGTTAAGCTAAACATATTTAGTTCCATTAGCTGTTAATAAGATCAGTCTCCAGACCCCTTATAATCTGTTGCTCTTCTCTGTACTCTTTCTAGAGCCTCAGCATCTTTTTTGTGGTCTCCAAATGTGATCTCACCAATGCAGTGTAAAGCGGTACTATTACTTTCCTTGATCTTGATACTATCCCTCTGTGGATGCAGTTCAGGGTTGCGTTGGCTTATGCAACCTGATTAGGTTTCCTCAAAGACCCATATCACAATAGCACAGCACCTATCAAGGTGAAATTTGGAAGCTCTTTTGTGTTCCAAAAATCTAGACAGTCCTTGATTGCAGTAAAGAGATACTGAAAGTCTCTTGCTTCCATCAAGTGGTCATCTGGATTCCTATAGATCAAATCTGGTAACCCGGTTAGTACTAAACCATAATTTCTCAATTGCGGGATAAAATGTTTATTCTATTTGAAGATACTAGAATACTGAACAGCAAAAAATGAATTTAAAAACAATTTTTGCTGAAAAACAAGATGATAAAAATTGGAGGATATTTTTTCAAACAAAACTGGAGAATATTTTCATTTGGCAAGATGGTAACTGGTGGTAACGTTTGGTATTCTAATAAGCTTATGCAGCCGAAGGAGAAGTTTACCCCTAAGCACAATTTCTGGTTTTCTGAAAGAAAATAGTCCTGCTTAATCATTTCCATAAAAACACATCTATTTTATCTGATTCTCATTTAAGAGAAATTTTGGAATCATTTCCATAAAAGCTTCATGTTTTTTTTATTTGATTCTCATTTAGGAGAAATTAGATTTATTTTGACAGAAGAGGAAAACAAACTGTAGAAAATAAATAATTGGCCATGTGATTTTTGAGTCTGCTGCAGCATTCTTTATTTGACTAAGTCTAAGAAATAATGCTTTCTGAAACCAGTTTACTTGAAAACACTCCAAGTAAATAAATATTTTGGATGGCTGCACAATTCCTTAGGAAAGCCATAGAATTGCAACCAGGTCCAGTGTGTTGGCCCTCAGAAGAAAACCTCAGACTTCTTTTCCTACAAATATTTTCAGTCAGAATGATGTAGGCTGAATCTTTATTCTAGTTCTTTGTGAACTTTGTTTTGATTCACTAGATTTATATTGGAGCTTTTATTCAGGAGCTCACCGTGGCAAACCTAGGGCTCCCTCCTATTTTTCCTATCAACCACAACTGGTGTGAAAGGTTGAATTAAGAGAGTAACCAACTCAAAGCCGCAGGTGAATTTCTGTGTGCCTGAAGATGGATTATTTTCTGTGTCCCCCACTTCCCAGCACTTTAACTACTATAAGACATTGGCTTTCATTACATCTCATGTTACCATTATTTGCATAATTTTCTACTCCCTAGCAGAGCGCACTCAAGCGCACTCCAACAAGAGAATTTCTGAAACAATTGGACACCACTTACTTTTCCAAATGTTGGACTGCAGCTTCCATTCTCTTTCATCCCCAAGTTGAATAGAACTGGCAGCATCTGAAGACTGACAAGCAATCTACCTCTGTCCTACATATTAAAAGTGTATTTTTCAATGCTAAAATGACTTCTTTACATTTTTGAAATTAGATGAGGGCCCACAGGTTACCTGTTCCTCCCCTTTTTAACATAAAAATTATATTAATGTTCAGCCTGAAGATGATTTTGAACATTTTTGCAGCATATACCTGGCCTGGCTGGTCTGAAAAAGATCTAAGCAAAGTTCTTGATGGCACATTTATGGAAATCCAGGAAGAAATCCCTGAGCTATAGTCTAGACTGGAACAGGTAAAGCAAAAAGACAGTAAATCATTAGTCAATTGATTTGTTATCACTTTATTATGAATGTCCTATAGAGAGAGAAGTGATTGCAAAATGTTTTGGTTCTGGGGCTAAGATTATTTGTAGTGTGCTGGTACTACATTGATCAGTGTGGGTACTATGTCTTATGTCTCGGGTTACAAAAAAATTGACTTTGATTTGTTTTGTTTTCAGAAATGAGAAGCCATGGTTCTTCAGTTGCCTCCTTGCAAATGTTTATGTTTTGTGTGTCCTTTCTCTGATAAATGTGCCCAGTTTCCTACCAGTTGTCACTGCTTCCTGCCAATGAACAAAGACTGGAGAAGTTGCATCAGATTTATTTTGGTGAGCAGAGTGGTTGGGATGTATTTTCTCAAATGTATTGTTTATTAAGGAAACAAAAATCAATCCAAGCATGCTTTACCAATTTCTAATGGCCCCAGTTTCATTTTCTGCCAATACTAGATTGCAAATTGGTTGCATTGTTCCATAAAACAAGATTGAAATTATTAAGAATTGTGGTGACCTCTTCTACCTGAATAGACATTCATTGACAATGAAGATGTCTTGATAGTGGCTAGCTTCTTCCTTTTAGGATCAACCATCAACAAGCATTCAAGAATTACTCTGCAGACTAGCATTGATAGAGCAGCCAGGAAGACCTTTGAAAAGTTATTCAAATGTCATGATGAGTCCATATCTACAAAGATCAGAATCATGCAATCAATAATATTTCATATGAGACTTTATGGAAATGAAAGTTGGATTTTGAAGTAAGTTAGGAAGAGGATTGATGCTCTTGAAAATTGGTGTTGGAGAAGATTCCTGAGAATACCATAGACAGCCAAGAAAACAAAGAAAGGAATCATCAAGCAAGTCAACCCAGTTCTCACTTGAAGCAGAAAGGATCAGGCTTATCATATAGCACATTATAGACAGACCTCTGGCAAAGGCTCTAATGCTGGAAAGGTGGGAGGAAAGAGAAGAAGAAAATTACCAGCGACAAGATGGACGGACTCAGTTACAATGGGGACACCATTGGAGGAACTGAAGGACCAGATTGGGGACAAATAGTCATGGAGAAAATATGTCTATGTGGTCTCTAGCAGTTAACAATGACTTGATGGCAAGGAATCAGTCATTGAGTCTAACTGAATAGACTTTCTGTTTGCCTGAATTTTTAACATCCAAATAAAGTTTAACAAAGGGAGCTACCAAGAACCAGTGATATTCTAATAACTGAGCAAGATGAGGCAAAGCTTGCGCTATCCAGAGGCATCCTCAAGGACAGTTAGAAAAGTCAAGATGGTAGCTACAACCATGTGGTTGACATCCTGGTCTTTTATATGTCATGAGACATACTAACTTTAAGGAAGGAACAAGAGAATTGCTAGATTTATACATTGTGATTCATCAGCTTTTAGTTAAGTGTACAGTATGGATCTATTGTAATATGAAAATTTTATTGAATGGTTTAATCTAATGTGTGACTCTAGTTCATATTGGCTTATTCAACAGGTCATATTTAAGTATTTTAAAGCTTATATAATGTCTAATCCAGGACAATGACAGGAAAGAACTGACAATCTTTGAGAAGGAATAAAAGAGAATTAGCTGGAAGTAGGAGAATGGAGGACTTTATTCCTTTTAAATGGGATTTATTTTAAATCAGGAAAGTGACTTAAAAAAGTTAAGGCACATTAAAAAATAAAATTATTATGTAAAATATTGAAAGGCGGAATAGAAACAATGTTGGAAAATTTCTAATAAATTGTTCAGGAGCATGTAAGCCAGACATGTCAAACTCGTGATGTCACATGATGTCACGCAACGTATCGGAGCTTTTTCGCCGTTGCTGGCAATGGAGTGGGCACAGCTCCGGTATGATGAAACCGCCCCGCGGGCCAGCAGTTTGACACCCCTGATGTAAGCAAATTTGAAAGCAAAGAAGTAATTAGCAACTGAAAACACAAATCTCTAAGTGCTCAGATAAAAGAAAAACAGTTTGGGAAAGTCTGCTTTTAAAAAATAATTACAGAGTGAAAATCAGTGTTGGAACCCTAATATGAACATAAATATAATCACCAGACCTCTCTGCTCCTGTGTATTTCTATTGTCAGATTAGCCTCCTTCTAATTAAAGCAATTTAAATGGAAAAATATTTTCTTACACCAGAACCAAACAGCCTAGTTTGCAAGACCCATGCTTGGAGATACTCTCTCTCTCTTTTTCTCCTTCCCTCCCTCCCTCCCTCCCTCCCACCCTCCCTCCCTCCCTCCCTCTCTCTCTCTCTCTCTCTCTCTCTCTCTCTCTCTCTCTCTCTCTCTCTCTCTCTCTCTGTGTGTGTGTCCCTTGCTATAATACCGTAATTTGATGCAGAAATTGAGGTCAGCCCAGTTTTACAGCTGCTTTGAGAAACTCCAGTCTATTTGCTGTGTAAGAAAGGCGAGAATGTTTTGAAAAAGAAGTGATGCTAATCTAGAGAAGTCTAAGAGTAAACACAAAATTCAGAGCTTGGAGTAGACTCGATTTCTGTTGTTCTGTATGTGTCTACTGTCTTTCATATTCCTACAATGGACATAATGTAGATCTGTAAAATATATCTTTTTTTTGTTGTTTTCAGACTCCCACTAAATTTTTTTTTACATCACACATACTTCTACTCTAATTAGTTGCTGATATGCTTTTAGCATCTTCAACAATCCTATATTCATACCTTTAATGTGTTTTTCCCTACTCAAATGAAGGAGTTTGCATTTGTCTCTGCTGGAATTCATCTTGCTCCAACTTATCCAGCTCCTTCTGTATCATGATAGTGCCTGCTAAGATGTTTGTTTCCTCACAATACACAGATTTGATAAACATATCTTCTAACTCCACATATTATTTATGAATAAATTCAGCAGTACATGGTTGACTGCTTGACAGTGCCCTCAAGTGGGATATGGTACTAGTGAAAAAAACTCAGTGGCTATGATTGTTCAATCAGCTCTGTGTCTAGCTAATGGTAGAGAGTCCAGCCCATATCATACCATTTTTTCTACTGAAATCCCATTGAAAATTTTGTCAAATGCTTAATCAATCCTTTAAATTATCTGAAAAGAATACTTTGAAAAGATGTGCCATGGAACATGCATCATAAACAATTATGTCTTATCTCATTTCCCAGTGAATTCCAATTTCTTCCTGGAGGTGAAAGTGGTCAGAGGCATGAAGCTGTGGCAATCAATACTAGAAGCATTTGTTCTGTTACCATATCTCAATATATGGCTTGTCGATGGTGAGTGCTCAGTCTTTCTTGCCATTATACACGATAATTAGCTCTACCGTTAATAGTTCTTAATGTTTAACATGTTTTTCTAGCATTCAGTTGGTATCTTCCCACCTTAAAGCCTGCATATTATATTATATTAAAGCAGTGGTTCTCAACCTTCCTAATGCCATGACACCCAACCATGTGGTCGTAAGTCGAGGACTACCTGTATTTCCCTGCGGGCAGGGCAGGAGGAGGCGCGCACACTCCGCCTCCTCTCCTGCGGCTGGAGCGCACGCTGGCCAGGCCAAGGGTGCACACAGCCTGTCGCCCAGCAACTGCCTCGGCCCGGGAGCACCGCACATGCGTGGTGCCGCCCCCTGCACCGGCCGAGGCGTAGCTGGCAAGCGGCAGCGACGGTGCAGGCCAACCACCAGCGGGGCCACCAGCTGGCCCAGCTCAAGGAAGGTAAGCCACCCGCTGGGCCCCATGCGCACCAGCAACCCTCCCTGCGCCTGCCGCTGCCACACTAGCCTTACCTTGGCCACCACACATTCGGTGTGGCAGCAGGCAGGCCCAGGTGCTCCTGGGCGGCCATGGCACCTGGCAGCGAGGGCGCAGGGTGACCACCGGCTGGGCCACCAGCTGGCCCAGCCCAAGGGAGGTAAGGCACCCGCTGGGCCCCACGCGCTGCAGCAACCCTCCCTGCCCCTGCCGCTGCCCCGCTGGCCTTACCATGGCCACCGCACGGCAGGGAGGTAAGGTAAGTCTATTCTATTGGCTTTCGAAAGCCAATAGATTCTATTGGCTTTCGAATGCCAGTAGAATAGAGTCTCTTGAATAGAGTCTATTCTATTGGCTTTTAAAAGCCAATAGAATAAGAGGGAGTAGCACAGCTAAGGAAAAGGGGGAAAAATGGCGGACTACGTTGTTTGGCGACCCCCGTGAAATGGTCGTTCGACCCCAAATGGGGTCGTGACCCACAGGTTGAGAACCGCTGTATTAAAGCCTGCATATCTGCCACCCCACTGAAGAAAACTCAATCTGTTCCATAGAAACTATAACTGAGTCATCAACTCCTACCCATGCCCTGTTTCTCAACCTTGGTAGTTTCAGGATGGTTGGACTTCAACTCCCAGAATTTCTCAACCAACTATACTTACTGGGGAGTTCTGGGAGTTGAAGTCCACATATCTTAATGTTGCCAAGATTGAGACCATGCTCTGGATGCTGTTTTATGCAGAAGTGCAATAAGTATACTTTAGATCACCCTTCTTGATGCCATCTCCTTACTTCTGGAATATCCTACCCCAATAAGGCATTCCTTACATTATTTTTTTTTTCTAATGCCAAAACATTTTAATTCTGGTATTTTTGACATGTTAATATGTTCATTTACGATACAGTTATGTTTTCATTGCTTTTATATTGTATTTTTATTTGTTACTATATTTCATACTGTGCTTTCAATGTTTTTCTAATATGGTTATATAGCTTTGAAGCATCAAAATACTCAAGTTGCATTAATTAAAAAAGTGTCTAGACCATATTTCCCCAAAGTTGGTTCCAGGGGCTGGAGGTGGCATCCATCATTTCTGACTTTTGGTCATACCATTCTTAGCCATGATTAGATGCCCAATAATGTCCATGTTTTAAGCAGTGGTCTTCTACTGTTTTCCTTTTTTCACACATTGTTTGCTTTGGACATAGCACTAAGAACAGAAGGAGCAACAATAAACACTAAATAAACATTAGCCCCCTTCCTTTGGGTAGCTACATGAATTGGGACTAGAAAAAAAAATCAATAAAAAGTCATCAATAAAAAGATGGGAAACAGGGCCATCTTGATTGTGTTTTCTTCCAAATCATGGAACTGAAATGATAATTATAGACACCAAGAGTTTGGATACAGATCTCATTTAAACAAAGCACCATAGAAAAAGTGAAAAATTTAAACTGTTACTAGTAATCTCACTGGATTATCATAAGCTATTAGCAAAAATGATCTATAACAATAAAACAGGCCTACCTTTAAATGTTTTTAAAATGTTTAAATGTAAATTTCCTTCATATCTTTAGCTTACTTTGTACATGCATACATATGTAAGATAAGATAAGATAAGATAAGATAAGATAAGATAAGATAAGATAAGATAAGATAAGATAACCTTTATTGTCATTTTTTTACTGTGGGCACAATGGCACGCATCAAAAATGAAATTTAGTTGCCCGCTCTCAAAGTGAAACACATACATGACACACACCTAAAACATACTATGTACAACATATGTATAGACCCACACCCCTACATATACATAGCAAATAAATATTAAATACTGTCCATCTTGAGTATATAACGGAATTCAGCTATTGGCATAACAGTTAATAAACAGCAGATAAACTTTGTGAGTAAAAGGAATGTTAGCTAAATTTAGCATATGTTCCAAAACTAAAGGCTTCTTGCATGAATGCCCTATTTGACTGGGAAGCCCTGCTGTTGAGAGATGGTGGTTTATTGTCCAGCACATCTGAAAATCGTCTGATTAAGGGAAGCTTAAACTTTAGAAATCTGGCAAAATACTAAAATGAGACAACAAAATAGTCTTTATTTGTTGTTGTATAACCAGAGAAGCCAGGCAGTTGGAAAAATAGCCTTGGCAACTGCAGTAAAGATTTGGCATTTGTTCTTCTAATGTCTGCTGATTCATCTGTTATACAAATAACAGCCTACCGAGAAAGCACCAGCTGTGCTTTTTTACACTGAATATTCTAATTTGTCACAGTAAAGTTGTGCTGCCATCTTCTCTTTCTTTGCCAGAGCTTAAAATATACATTGCTGAAACTTTGGTTTGTGTCATATATGCCACATTTATAGACTGCCAAATTAGCCAGGGTAGCTTTAAAACATTTGATGATTGGCATGCTTTTGTCCTGGTAGCCATTTCATCTGAAGTTTCACAAGATATTGGTTTAGCCTCACAGACTGGAAAGCTTATCTGGGTTAAGGTTATAGTAACTCTAGTAGGTTTATCTCAAAATTCTAATAATCCCAGTTGACTCACAGAAAGGCAATGTAAAAAAAGAGAAAGAAAGTCAGAAGACAAAATGAGTCGGTTCCATGTAAGGTCTTTGCAGCTAGGAGTTCTAAGATAAAAGCCACAGAATCATTCATAGACTGGCTTTGTTCCAGTGATATTACAAAAATTGAGAGTTGGCTTCTCTCATCAGGATACTGCCAAGTAGCTTTATCAGACCAGCTGTTTCTTGACAGAGCCAAGCTCTCCTACATACTTCTGTTTTTCTGATGCTCTGTCTTCAGACATGAATATTCTCAAAGGCTAACTTGAGAAGGCTCTTACTCTGGATCAGATCAAAGCTGAGCAGATAACAGCAGTCAAAGGAAGAAATGTAAATCAACAATTTTTCTGTGAAAGAAAGCTTGCCTGGGTGATTTCACCTTCAATAGGAATACACTGAAGAGTAGTCAAAATCCAGTCCAAAGTTCAGACAGCCAAGTCAGATTTGTCAGCCAGTTTCATAAGCAGAGTACACGCAAATCATCAGGCAATCAAACAATTGTTTCCAACAAAGAAACTTGGATGAGGGCTGCCATTAAATCAGGTTTCCCCCTTGCTTGGCAGGGAGCCTCATTGAGCATCTTTGCTCTGGTCTCAGCTTTACTTGCCAAGTATCATATCATCTGATTGCTTCAGCTGTTCAGATGGTGCCTGTGTTTGATCAGCCTCAGGTGATTTCTGGCTTGGTCTGTCCTGGCACTAACATTGCACTGGTACAGCTGGAGCAGCTTCTTCAAAGTCAGAGTCTGAGGCAGGGGGCTCCAAACTTGGCAACTTTAAGACTTGTGGACTTCAACTCCCAGAATTCCTCAGCCAGGAGGAGACCCCTGGTCTGAGGTCTTGGCCATGATTAAGTCCAGTTCTTTAACAGCTGTAAGACTTGAGGCTAGTGAGGCTGAAACCTTGCAAATGCCTATTCCAAAAGTGTATTATATGGTAGTAGCTGTTGGTTGCTTGCAACAGATATGCATATTATTGACTAAAATGTAGATGATATCTTTGTTCCTTGATTTCATCTTTACCAAATCTTGGTTTTAATTGTGTTTTTTCTCTTAAGTATTGAATTTGAAACTCCGTAGCTTTATTATAGTTTTAGTACTCATTTATATTTGTATTTTAGCAGTGTGATACGGATTTCTGTATGATGTTATTAGTTTTTGGGGAGAGAAAATCAAGGTAGAAATAAACTATTATGAACACTGTGGCAACAGAAGCAAATTCAAATCCATATCCTAGGCTTGCAACCACTGTGCTAACAATAAGTGATTTCATTATTCCAATTCTCCAGGACAATCTCCTCCTGGGAAACCTAGAATAGTAAGTTGCCTGTCCCAAGGAAATGAAACATTTACTTGTCGATGGGAACCTAATTCAGATGGTGGTCTTCCTACAAATTATACTTTGTTCTACAACACCATTGGGTAAGAGTATATGGGAAAGTGGAGGAGGACAATAACTTTTATGTATTTTGTTTTTCACATAGATTCAGTAGAGGTAGATTACCCTTAAGAACAAGATGTATAAAGTAAATTAATGCCTGTAAACATACAAGTCTAAGCCATAATTTTTAAACTATAGCAATAGCACTTAGACTTATGTACTGTTTCACAGTGCTTAACAGCCCTCTCTAAGCAGTTTTACAGAGTCAGCATATTGGCCCCAACAATTTGGTCCCATTTTACTGACTTCGGAAAGATGGAAAGCTGAGTCAACCTTGAGCTGGTGAGACTTGAACTGCCGAACTACTGGCAGTCAGCAGTCAGCAGAATTAGCCTGCAATATTGCATTCTAACCACTGTGCCACCAGGGCTCTCAATTACTTGAACAAGCCACAGAGGCATAATTTACACATCAAAGTTATGTATTGTCAAGGGTATAGCTTTCCCAATTAACTCTAAACAATGGATCATCTGAAAGGTTGAAAAAAAATGGATGCCTTTGATGTGATGTTGGAGAAAATTGTTAAGAATACTTTAGAACAAGGGTCTTCAAACTTGGGCCTTTTATGACTTGTGGACTTCAACTCCCAGAATTCCTCAGTCAGTGTGCCTGGCTGAGGAATTCTGGGAGTTGAAGTCCACAAGTCATAAAGGGCCAAGTTTGAAGACCCCTGCTTTAGAAGAATAAATTATTCAATAATAGGTGAATTAATGCTAGACTTCTCTTTCAAAACACTAGTCATGAAGCTAATGTTTAAATCTTTTAGAAACATAATGCAAACGCAACAGTCGTTAGAGAACACTCTGTGACTTGAAAAAATGGAAGGCAATTAGAAAAAAAAGGATAACATAAGATGAGTTGGCTAGATCCAACCCTGAAAACTGAAGCATAAGCTTGTAAAAACTCAACAAAGCACTAATAAGCCCTATAGATATAATAATGACCAAATATATAATAATGATCAAAATGTTTTCTACTGAGAAATGTACAGGACAACTGAAAAACTAAGTGACCATGTGAATTGTTACCGCCCAGATCTGGTAGTTTTAAGATTAGGGTGAGGGTGAAGGACAAATGACTATTGTATAGGTAGTCCTCAACCTATGACTGCATTTGAGCCCAAATTTCTGTTGCTAAATGAGACAGTTGTTAAGTGAATTTTGCCCCATTTTACGACTTTTCTTGCCACAATTGTTAAATGAATCACTGCAGTTGCTAAGTTAGTAACACTGTTGTTCAGTGAATATGGCTTTCCCAATGGCTTTACTTGTCAGAAGGTCGTAAAAAGGGATTGTATGACTCCAGGACACTGAAACTGTCATAAATATAAGTCAGTTGCCAAGCATTTGAATTTTGATCACGTGACTGTGCTGCGATAGTCATGAATGTGAAACATGAACATAAACCACATTTTTCATAATTTTGAATGGTTACTAAATGAACTGTTGTAAGTCAAGGACTACCGTAGTTTTTCCAAGTCTGGCCCTCCCTATATGTTAAGATTGCTGTTCCTGAAATTTTCAGCTGGCCTCCTAAGAGATCTGGAAACTACCAGGTTGACTTACTGCCTTTGAATGGTGTTTAAGTGACCAGTAGAGCTCTAACCTTAATTTATTCCTAAGGATTTCAACTGAGTTTGATTCCATGTTGCATACTTACAACAGTTAATGTTAATGTTAATCTTTTAGGTAATTTAAGTATGTGCTTATTTATTTTTGATAAATATAAACAATTCTGTGTTAACTATGGCTTTACATGCTCATATTTCAGTGAAGAAGAGATCCATGACTGTCCAGATTACCTATCTGCTGGCCCCAATTCCTGTTACTTTAATCAAAGAATCACCAGGCGGTGGCAAACATACAACATCAGTGTAAAAGCTACCAATGATGCAGGAAGTAACTTATCTCATCCCCATTATGTGGACGTAAAAGAAATGGGTAAGAGCAGAAGCCAAATGAAACTCAATCTTTTATTTTGCTCTGTAATTAGAAAGAGAGAAGATGGCATAATATTTCAACATTATGATTTTCTCAAAACTAATCTCAGTGTAGATAGAGGAGGCCAGCAATATTAGTCATCAGTTCTGTTGAAAGTCAAGAAGAAAAATAATATCAGGGTGAGATGATCTCATTCACAAGATCGATGGCTCAGTTGAAAGCATAAGTTTCATGGGTTTTAAGATCCCGATTTGAATCTTGATATCATAGTTAAAAGAGTTGTCAGGTAACCAGATTCTCAAGATGAAATGCTGCAAAGATGGATAATACTGGCTTAGCTAAACTACTACTCATTATGTACCTTACATCTTTTGTTTTGAAACTATTGGAGCCGGGTGTCTTCCAGATTGGACTCAATTCCCAGACATGGAGAAAAGCTGACATGGAGAAACGTAAAAGGAGGAATTCTCAGCAAGAGCAGTAAAAATACTCACATGTGAATTTTCTTTTGCATAGTTAGGCCAACCCCTCCCATGAATCTCTCTTTGGAAGTCAAAATGGTAAATGGAATAATGTATATGTGGATAAAGTGGTCAGCACCTCCATGGATCAGTGATTCAGCACTATGTAATTATGAATTGCGACTGAAGTCTGCAGAAGGAAAAGAATGGGAGGTAAGAAACTTGCATATCTTTGCTAGTGAAGTTAGCAAAGAAAAAAGAAAAAGAAAGGTCAGCTGTCCTTATAAATTTAATAAATAAATTTCCCCAATTCAGAGATTGTGCTTAAACCACAAAGTAGAGCTTGATTCTTTACATATCTTTACATTCGAATACTGTATACAAGAAAAATAAAGTAGGTAGGAAGGACCGGGCTGCAGGACAGGGCAGAATATATCATTGGTTCGCGGAAGGCCTGAACTCAGAGTCCAGTTTCTCAAGGTAATGGAATCAGGGAACAGAGTGCATCACCTGAAACTTTAGAAAGCACACTAGTCAATGTTGCTGTTGTTAGTTGCGAAGCCGTGTCTGATCCATCACGACCCCATGGACAACGTTCCTCCAGGCCTTCCTGTCCTCTACTATCTTCTGGAGTCCATTTCAGCTCATGCCTACTGCTTCAGTGACTCCATCCAGCCACCTCATTCTCTGTCGTCCCCTTCTTCTATTGCCCTCAATCTTTCCCAGCATTAGGCTCTTCTCAGTGAGTCCTTCCTTCCCATTAGGTGGCCAAAGTACTTGAGTTTCAACTTCAGGATCTGGCCTTCTAAAGAGCAGTCAGGGTTGATCTCCTCTAGGACTGACCGGTTTGATTGCCTTGCTGTCCAGGGGACTCGCAGGAGTCTTCTTCAGCACCATAGTTCAAAGGCCTCAATTCTTTTGCGCTCAGCATTTCTTATGGTCCAACACTAGTCAATAGACCAGCAATATTGGCTAGGTAGACAAATCATCTGGCTTGCTGTCAGACAGCCTTCCAGGAACTGACCTCCATCACTGACATCTGAGGACTAATACGTCTTTAGTGCAGCCTAACTCTTCTCAGTGAAACATGGATTTCATTCATTTCCAGAGCATGATGCAGCTGGAGAGGGATCATGGCTAAGGAATAAAGCACAGTATTGAAGCCTAATCAAGGAACTATCAAGGAGAAAGCAAATTGTCAGCACCAACGTTGACAGGGCAAGCTACTGTATACAGATGAGAAAACAAATCCCACTCTCTTCTAGCCCTGAGGATATTACCCAATGTGGTAATGAAATGTCTGCAAGCAAATAACCAAGCTTAGAGAGCACCAAGGAGTCCACAGTTCAACACAGAGCTACAGATATTCTCTTCCAATATTTGTTTATAAGGTTCAGAAGAGTATGTTGGTCTTTGGCTTGTGAAATGATCTGTTTCTGAAGGCTAATGCAGTTAGATTAAGGGCTATATAAGTTTAACTCAAGACTATATGGAGTCCTAGGCCTGCAGTCACTCACTATCACCCCTGCACCCTTTGTCAAAAATAGCTATAAATAGCAGCAGAGCCCAAGGAGCACATTTTTTTTTTTTTAGAAAATTCCAATTCTTGTCTTGTTTAAAAAGCTCCAATAGATAGTAACCAATGTAAGATTACTATAGGTAGAATCTACCTGCTCAGTGGGCACCCTACATATAAGTAGATTTCCTAAGCGTAGGTTGATGCTTAAGCAAAATGAAAAAGGGCTACAGAATACATATTGTATGAGTGAATATATTTCACTTCAGGAAAGGCTATAGAATGTGAGGCCAGCATCTTCATTATCTTTTACGTAAAGGTTTTCATAGAGCAGCCATTTTAAGTGAGTGAACAACTCTTGTGGTATTATCATGCTGGCAATAAAGAAGCAAGTCCCTTAGATGAAGAATAAACAAATGAAAAATGTTTCTGAGAATTCCAAGTAAATAGACCAGTGATGGCAAACCTTTTAGAGACCGAATGCCCAAAAACCATCCTGCCCCCCCCCGGCCTCTCCCCACTGTGCCCCCTGCTCCGTCCACCCACAGGGCCACTCACCACAGATTGCCCAGGCAGCCTTGCAGCGCCATGGCTGCTGCACCCCTGCAGCCTCATCTGCCCGTGATGGGGTGCGAGGGCGGAGTCTTGCTCTTGCTGCCTGTCTACCATGTGTTTGGCTGCGCTGCTCTGCATGGGCCGCGCCTGGGGGAGCCTCTCCTCCAGGCAGGCTGCTTGTGAGGAGGGGGTTGCGGGGAAAGGCGGGGCCGGGGCAACGGTGCGCGTGCCCACAGAGAGGGCTCCGAGTGCCACCTCTGGCATGCATGCCATAGGTTCGCCACCACTGAAATAGACGTTTCTCCAATTAAAATACCAGAAGGCACATTAAATTTTTTTCTTGAACAAGCACCAAAAAAAGCAATTATTCAGTGTGAGCTGTGAGATGGATACAAAGATTTATCCCAGAAATAATATTGGATGGTCCTCAGAAAAGAGGCGGCATTGGATTTTCTCCTGCCTAACACAGCGCAGGAATGTCTTTGCAAGAGTATCTGAAGGATGGATCATGGCACCTGGACTAATTTTTTTGTTAGTTTGAGACCTTTTGCTGCTCATCCAACCAGCTTCATCAGTTAGAGCAGTGGTTCTCAACCTGTGGGTCGGGACCCCATTTGGGGTCGAACGACCATTTCACGGGGGTCGCCAAACAACACAGTCCACCATTTTTTTCCCCTTTTCCTTAGCTGTGCTACTCCCTTTTATTCTATTGGCTTTTGAAAGCCAATAGAATAGACTCTCTTGAATAGAGTCTAATTCTATTGGCTTTCAAAAGTCAATAGGAATTGTCCAGGCTGTCTCTGCCCTGCTGAGCCTGCCAAAAGTCTCATTCTGCAAACGGTGCTGCATCAGTTGAGTAGTCCTTGACTTACGACCGGTTGAGTAGTTCTCGACTTACAACCGGTTGGGGGTTGCGACATTAAAAAGGTTGAGAACCACTGAGTTAGAGCAAGTCAGTTAGGCAGAAAGTTGTTGGGATATACCAACTCTTGTCACACCAACCTCAAGATTTTCCTCCCCAACATCATCTTTACAAGAGAGAAGTTGGCCCACTGTAACCAAGTTTTAAAATATCACACTCATGCCTTCTGCTAGTTACATTGCTTGCCTCTTTATTCTTGAACCCAGTTTTAAAGTCTGTTTCCATTGTTTCCATTTCAGGGTTAAATTATTGTACTAGCTTGCATTGTTGAGTAATATTATAAGCGTCTTGATTTTAATTGGTTTTGTTGTTATTAAAATATATATTTAACTATGAGTGTTACTCACACACACACACACACACACACACACACACACCCATGACTGTTACAATCATAAAAATATATATTTTAACTATGACTGTATTGGAAATATTTTATCTTGAGTATTTATTTATGATATGAGAGGGCGGGAGTGATTCAAAGTGCGTCTGTGTCACTGGTGGCATCAAACCAAACAAAACCGGCAACTGATTATATGATTCTTGTTATGAGACTTTTTTCTTAGGAAAACGCCTGGAATGGCCAAAACAAAGAGGCTTAGAAGCAAACTGCATAAACCATAGTATTATTTGGCTGACAGTATCTGGAAATATTTTATATCTGGAAATATCTGGAAATACTTTATACTTTTATTTGTTTACTCTGATCTAAAAGATTAGAATATTTAAAGCTATAGACGATCTCTTCCCAATGTTGTTTTTTCCATGAAACTGTACACACTGCCAGATAATAAGGTTATTGGCCATGCTAGAAGGAGATGATCAGATTTATAATCCAATCCATTTGAAAGTCAACCTAGACTAGATAACACAGATTCAAATTACCTATATATTTGATGTACTGATATGATTTGGGTTGCAACTTGGAAATGCCACATTTTTCAGTTTCCATTACCTTTGCCCCTTTGCAGAATTACTTTGTGGGACAGCAGTTGCAATATAAAATATCTCACTTGCATCCAGGAATGAAATATACTGCTCAGGTTCGCTGTGTAACAGATCATGGTGAAAGGAGCTTGTGGAGCTCAGAAAGATACATCCACTTCCATAATGGTGAGTCAGTCTCTTGAAATTTTTTGTCTTGGAAAATCAAACATTTAACAGAAACATAGAGCTGAAAAATTACAGAATATTTAAGGATAGATTTCTATATTGCATGCAAGTTTATTTAATAAAAGCTACACTGCTGTCTCAAAGATACTTTTTCAAAAGACAACTGGACTTTCTTTGGTTTTCCTTGAAGCTTCTTCAGTTCTGTTCAGTTCAGTTCTTCTTCAGAATTGAAGAAGCTTCTTGGATGAGAAGTGAAATGTCTTCAAGGAAAAAAAAAAAGGAAAGTCCAGTTGCCTTTTGAAAAAGCACCTTTGGAACAACCATGATTTGGATGACTGAGAATCTCCATAGACAAAAGCTACACTGCAGCTTTGTATAAACCAAATAATTCTCATATAAGCAGGAGGAATGAATTTGCTGGCAGCTTTTCTGTAACATATTTTCCAAACATCACAGCTATGTTATATCCAAATCTCTAGGGATTCAAGACATGTGTTTACTGTATTAAAAAGGAGAATCAAAAGAGGTGTGAGGCTTATTTTAAAATGATTGCAACAGAGATTCCAATAAAAATTATTCCACAGTTTTTAAAAAGAACCAACAAATTCAACATTAAATTGTCATAGTTAACATCCTTTTTTAAAAAATAATGAGATCTTGCTCAAATGAAGAAAGAAAACATAGAAGAAAGCAAACTGATAAATGAATCTAACTTGATAACAAAGCAGGAATAGACAAAAATGAAAAATGTATTGTTAGAAATAAAACTGAGAGCCCATCAAATAGCAAGAATCTAATGGGGAAGATAGTTGGAGTGCCTGGCAATAAGATAGAAATTGTAACTAAAGTAGTTTTTGAAAACTGCAAAGGAGCAAAATTTATACTTTACATTAATCTTTTCTGGGTAAATTATCAAAGAGTCACTAATAACTACAGGTAATCCTCAACTTACCACTTCAATTGAATTTATGTTGTTAAATGAACAAAACAAAATTTATGTTGTTAAATGAAAATTTTATTAAGTGAGTTTTGTCCCATTTTATGACTTTTCTTGCCACATTTGTTAAGAGAATCGCTGCAATTGTTAAATTAGTCACACGGTTGTTAAGTGAATCTGGTTTTCCCATTGACTTTGCTTGTCAGAAGGTCTCAAAAGGAGATCACATGGCTCTGGGACACTGCAACCATCATAAACGTGAGTCAGTTGTCAAATATCCAAAGGTGACCATGAGGATGCTACAACGGCCATAAGTGTGAAAAATGATTGTGTCACTTTTTTTAGTGCAATTGTAACTTCAAACAGTCACTAAACAAACTTGTAAGTTGAGGACTACTTGTAATTTTTTAAACTGCCCAGTAGCTTAAATTTTTCATATACAAGGGTGTGTCCTTATCCTTAAACTTCATTGATCTTCACAAGAAGGTAGAATAGATTAGAAGACTTGCATATTCCTAAGGCATCATTACTCTGGTGTTAATGCAGGATAGTCTTCAATTTATGACTACAATTGGTATCAGAATTTCCATTGCCAAGCAAGATGGTTGTTAAGTGAGTTGTACTCAATTTTACAACCCTTTTGCCACAGTTGTTAAGAGAATCACTGCTCTTGTTAAATGAATCACATGGCATTTGAGCAAATCTGGCTTCTTCCATTGACTTTGTTTGTCGGGAGCTGATTGGGAAGCTCACAAATGGTGATCACATGATCCTGGGTTCTGCAATTATCATAAGTACATACCACTTGCCAAGGGCCCAAATTTTGATCACATTACTGTAGGAATGCTACAATGGTTATAAGTGGGAGGATTGGTCATAAGTCACTTTTTTCAGTGCTGTTGTACCTTTGAATGACCGCTAATTGAATGGTTGTAAGTCAAGGGCTAACGATATGATGCACATGGGCCCTTTTTTTACAGGCCAGCCTCCAGGGAAGCCAATCTTTACAGGATGTCGCTCTCCCGAAAAAGAAACCTTTACTTGTTGGTGGAAGCCAAGCTCTGAAGGAAGTCTCCCAAGAAATTATACACTGCTCTATAAGAGAGAAAGGTAAAAATTATAAATCATCTTCTAAATTGGAGGTAGGGAACTGTGGCCCCTTTATGACTGACTTTATGGCTGACTCAGGAATTCTGGCAGTTGACATCCACAAGTCATAAAAGGGCCATCTTCTCCACCCTTGCTCTAAATGGATTGTTACATAATTTTGCATCTCTAGAAAAGTTGGCTCTTAGCTTTCCCCATAGGACAACTTACTAATTTGGTAAACAATGCCAATAAGCTCAGCAGTCTGATTGATGTGATTCCCTTTTTTTTCTATTTGTGTTTTTCAGAGATAAAAAATACTACGAATGCCCGGACTACACAACAGCGGGGCCCAACTCCTGTTACTTTAATAAAAAGCACACATCGCTGTGGACTACCTATAATTTTACTTTAAAGGCGATGAATGAGATGGGGAGTAGTGTGGCAGACCCTTATTACGTGGATGTAGCAAATATAGGTATGAAGTACAAATTCTTCTGAATGGGAAAGATGGCAGAATGTTCAAAAGAGCCTGAGAATCCCCCCACATTGCCATATCGACCATCATCTATAAATGGCAGTCAGTCAATGGTAGCTTTGTTAAGCATCTAACTGATTAAAATAAGTGATGTTAAGTCCCAACGGTGCTTTTTTAAAAGGCAACTGGACTTTCTTTGTTTTTCCTTAAAGAAATTTTGCTTCTTGGATGAGAATAGGATCATATTATCATATGTGGTGGGAATGCTCAAAGGCTTTGTGAGTATTGGAACAGGATACAAAGATGGCTGAATGATATATTAATGTTGGACTTAGAATTAAAACCTGAACTTTTCCTGGTGAGAATAACTACAGAGAAATACAATAAGGGAACAATCTACTTGTTGTTACATATCTTGACTGCACCTAGGCTGGTGTTCACGCAAAAATGGAAGAGCAAAGAAATTCTCACAGAGGAAGAGACACTATATAAAATATTATCATGTGCGGAAATGGACAGGCTCACAATGGTATTGAAAGACAAACATAGATCAGTTTATTTCGAAACCTGGGATAAATTTTACTGCTGGAGGGATTCGAGGAGGAAGTTTGGGATTATAGGCTAGCGTTAAGATAGAAATATATGTAATTTTAGGTTAGCAAATAGAGAAATAGATTAAGTATTGTATATAAAATTTAGATGTCTATTCAGAGATGAAGAACCGATTGTACAATGTGAAAAAATTTGATAAGAATGTATATACTGGAATGTCACGTTATATCCAATGTTTCTTTTAATTGTATTATAAATAAAATTGGTTAAAAAAAAGGGAAAAAAAAGAAAAAGCACCTTTGGGACAACCATGACCCGGATGAGTGAGAATCTGCATAGACTTTAAGTGATGTTAAGACAACATTCAGACTGGCGAGTCACATTGTGCAGGCAGTAGATTCTCTGTGTAAAAGAAAGCCTGGACTTGCAACCAACCACATCATCCTGGCTCACCAATGCATTGCTGGCATTTCTTTATCTTCTCACTTCTTCCTTTTGGGGAACCCATTAGTCACAAACTGGAGCTGAGTTGCATCAGCAACTAAAAGTGACAGAGAAGTGAAGTCCCTTGCTTGGGGAAAGAGGAAGTGATCAGAAAGCAGTTCCTTTTGCTGCCTCTTGATGGACACTGTCATCTTGCATCTGCTGATTCTTTAAATGAAAGCAGGTAATTAGCCGTGGGAGGCTTCTTTCTCTAGCAGGAAGAGTGAAAGGAGACAATAAGACAACAAGAAGCATTTCTTTCTTTCTTTTTAAGAAGTTAATATACAAGTAGCCAGAAAAGCTCCCTGTATGTTCTATCACAATAGGATAGAAGAGAGGGAAGCTCAAGTCTTAATGTACAAGGCATGCCTCCATTTTCATCCATGAATTGTAAATCCCTGATCCTTCATTTTTTCAGTTCAGCCAGATCCTCCAGAAAATCTTTCCCTAGAATTTGAGAAAAAAGTATATGGACAATATGCGTTGGTGACTTGGAATCCGCCTTCTCTGGGTGATGTCAAATCTGGCTGGTTAACTCTGGAGTATGAATTACACATAAAGCCTGAAGAAGGACAAGAGTGGGAAGTAAGTGTTTTCATTTTTGGTGGCCAAACATTCTGCATGCTTTTAGGTCACAAAAAACCACGGTCAATATAACAACTAATAATTGCCATACTTCACGCTATAAATAATAAACCATAAAAACTGTGGGTCTTCAGAACTTTGGGATTGAGCAAGCATTTAAAATATTTCCTTATTTATCAATATGCTTGTATATGTAATGCAAATAATTGCTGCAGTTCATAGTATATCCTAAAATAGTACGCTTTGATACATGTGTATGAGTATTTTTACTATGCACTTCTCTAGTCCATTCATACAATAAAGATAGTCCTTAATCATTGTGGTGAGATGGGCAGCAAACAAACAATAGTAATTGGGGCCAGAATTTCTATAGCTAAGAGATAAAGCACAACATCACATGACCACACAGGTTACTGACAGACATTTTGACACTTCCAGTTGCCATCATTAAGCAGACTCCATGCCATTGTTACGTGCACGTTCACAGGGTCACTGTTTGCGACCTCCTGCTAGCTTCTCCATTAATTTTGCTTGTCAAAATAACTAACATGCAAGCAGACCATACTTAGCAACTGCCTTGTTTAGCTACCATTTCCAGTTACACGGCTGATGAAAAAGTAACTTTTTGACTTCGCATTTGCAGGTCTGTAAAGGGAAGGAAAGCTGAAGTAAATAGCTTTAGCACAGTTGGGGTTTCACTTTGTGATCACTTCATTTAACAGCCTAGTTGCCAGTCCCAATTGTGCTCATTAAACAAGGGCTACTTGTACTTTGTTGTTGCATTTTTTTTAACAAAAGAAACTTTTTCTATGTTTTATATAGAAGCTCTTTTGTGTATATTCTTATATTTCCAGAAAATATTTGTTGGGCAAAGGACGTCTTATAAGATGTTCAGTGTGAATCCAGGAGAAAGATATGTTGCCCAGGTTCGATGCAGGTCAGATTATGGTATCTGGAGCAACTGGAGCCCTAAAAGTTATATTAAACTCCAAAAAGGTGAGGTAAACCTTTGCCTGGCCTTGTATTGGCATTAGGCTTATGAAGCCAAGAACAAGTTCAGTTTAGTTAGCGTAAGGCTTTTCCCCACAGCAAAATTAAATACCATCGTCCACTTCTTGACCTAGCAGAAAACTATATTGCCATAAAAAAGTGTCGTTCTCTATAATGCCATGGGTATGGTGGCATCCTTGTTTCTTGTTCAGAGGGCATACTGAGGACAGGAATGGGTGGAGTTCCTTGGGTGTCTTTTCTTCCTCCCTTCAGCAAATAGGTTGAATAAACAAGGGCAGAGTATACAACAAAGAGGAAAAATAACAGCTCTCAAAAGAAACCAGCATGGCTGCATAAAGAACTCTCTGACAAATTGAAAGATAAAAAGGACAAGTACAGAAAGTGGAAAGAGGGGAACATAACTAAGTCAGAATATCAGCAAATAGCCCGAGCCTGCAAAGATGAAGTGAAGAAAGCCAAGGCTCAAAATGAACTAAGGCTTGCGACCAAAGTCAAAAATAACAAAAAAAGCTTCTTTCAACATGTAAAAAACAAGAAAAAAGTGAAGGAAATGATTGGTCCATTAGTGGGTGGAAGTGGCAAGAAGGTGACAAGCAACAGGGAGAAAGCAGAACTATTTAACTCATTTTTTGCATCTGTCTTTACACAAAGGGAAAAAACAGACCAACCTATCAAAAATAGTGCCATAAAAAACAAAACAGAAACACAAGTTAAGATAGGCAAGAAAATGGTTAGGGAGCACCTGTCCAGCCTAGATGAGTTCAAATCGCCAGGACCAGATGGATTACACCCCAGAGTTCTCAAGGAACTGGCAGATGTGATATCGGAGCCACTGAACTATATTTTTCAAAGATCCTGGAACACAGGGGAACTACCAGAGGACTGGAAAAGAGCTGATGTAGTTCCCATCCTCAAAAAAGGAAAAAAAATGGATCCAGGAAATTACAGACCTATCAGCCTGACCTCAATACCTGGGAAGATCCTGGAAAAGATAATCAAACAACGAATCAACGAACACCTAGAGGCAAACAAAGTCATTACTAAAAGCCAACATGGGTTTGTCAAAAATAGATCATGCCAGACAAATCTTATTGCATTCTTTGACCAAGTGACAAAATTAGTGGATCAGAGGAATGCTGTGGACATAATTTACTTGGACTTCAGTAAGGCATTTGATAAAGTAGATCACAACCTACTACTTGACAAGATAGAAAAATGTGGGGTAGACAGAACCACCACCAGATGGATCCGTAGCTGGCTGACCGGCCGTACTCAGCGAGTGGTCCTCAATGGAACTGCATCTATATGGAGGGAAGTGTGTAGTGGGGTGCCCCAGGGCTCTGTTCTGGGCCCAGTACTCTTCAACATCTTCATCAACGATTTGGATGAAGGGATAGATGGGGAACTCATCAAATTTGCAGATGACACCAAGCTGGCAGGAATAGCCAACACTCCAGAAGACAGGCTTCAGATACAGAAGGATCTGGACAGACTTGAACACTGGGCACTAACTAACAAAATGAAATTCAATGGTGAAAAAAGCAAGGTTCTACATTTAGGCAAGAAAAACCAAATGCACAAGTACAGCATAGGTGGCACCATGCTCAATAGTAGTAACTGTGAGAGGGACCTCGGAGTCCTAGTAGACAATCAGTTAAATATGAGCCAGCAGTGTGCGGCAGCTGCCAAAAAGGCCAACACAGTACTAGGCTGCATTAACAGAGGGATAGAATCAAGATCACGCGAAGTATTAATACCACTCTTCAATGCCTTGGTAAGGCCACACTTGGAATACTGCATCCAGTTTTGGTCACCACGATGTAAAAAAGATGTTGAGACTCTAGAAAGAGTACAGAGAAGAGCAACAAAGATGATTAGGGGACTGGAGGCTAAAACATATAAGGAACGGTTGCTAGAATTGGGTATGTCTAGTTTAACGAAGAGAAGGACAAGGGGGGACATGATAGCAGTATTCCAATATCTCAGGGGCTGCCATAAAGAAGAGGGAATTAAGCTATTTTCCAAAGCACCTGAAGGCAGGACAAGAAGCAACGGGTGGAAACTAATCAAGGAGAGAAGCAACCTAGAACTAAGGAGAAACTTCCTGACAGTGAGAACAATTAATCAGTGGAACAGCTTGCCTCCAGAAGCAGTAAATGCTCCAACACTGGAAGTTTTTAAGAAGAGACTGGACAGCCATTTGTCCGAAATGGTGTAGGGTTTCCTGCCGAGCAGGGGGTTGGACTAGATGACCTCCAAGGTCCCTTCCAACTTTATTATTATTATTATTATTATTATTATTATTATTATTATTATTATTATTATTATTGATCATCGCACAGTCAGCCAGATGTTCAGACTGGATTTGGCATTTTGTCTACCTATCGAGTCCTTACCCAGGACCTGGGATAGGCAGATGTGGATGTTTGATGGTATTACAGATATCGTCGCAGGATGGAAGCAGTTCCTAATAAGGCCGCCTTTTGCAATTGACTAATAGCGAATTTGTCAATGCCAATGGTGTTCAAGTGGTGCTCCAGTTGTTTTGGGATTGCACCCAAGGAGCCTATGACTATTGGTACTACCCTTGCTTGCTTTTGCCACAGTCTTTCTATTTCTATTTGTAGGTCTTTGTATTTTGTTATCTTCTCCAGTTCTTTCTCTTCTATTCTGCTATCTCCAGGCACTGCCACGTCCACTATCCAGACTTTTTTGTCTTTCTTATCGACAATTGTTAAGTCTGGGGTGTTATGTTGCAGGTGCTTGTCTGTTTGAATTCTGAAGTCCCAGAGCAGTTTAATTTTATCATTTTCTATGACTTTCTCTATTTTATGATCCCACCAGTTTTTGCTTACAGGCAAATGATATTTTTTGCAGATCTTCCAATGCACCATTGTTGCTACTTTGTCATGCCGCTGCTTGTAATCAGTCTGTGCAATCTTCTTGCAACAGCTTACCAAGTGGTCCACTGTTTCTTCAGCTTCTTTGCATAGGCGGCACTTACTGTCTGTTGCTGTCTTCTCAATTTTGACTTTGTATGCATTTGTCCTTAAGGCTTGGTCTTGTGCAGCCAGAATTAGTCCCTCGGTCTCTTTCTTCAATTTTCCTGCTCTTAGCCATTGCCAGGTTTTATTATTATCTGCTTTCCCAGCTATTTTTTTAATGTATTGGCCATGTAGTGCTTTGTCTTCCCATGCCTCTATTCTGTTCTTCATTTGGTCTTTCTTGTAGGCCAGTTTGGTCTCTCCAGTAGTTAGTAAGCCTTCCTGATATACTAATTTCAGTGCATCTTCATCATTGTTCTTCAGATATTCTTCCAAAGCCATTTTTTCTTCTTCAACCATCTGATGTACTTGTAGCATTCCACGCCCACCTATTTGCCTTGGTAGATAAAGTCTATCAATGTCACTGCGTGGATGAAGGGCATGATTCATTGTCATTATTTTTCTGGTCTGCCTATCCATTGCTTTTAGTTCTGCTTGAGTCCAGTCCACTATTCCAGCTGTGTACCTAATGACTGGGATTGCCCAGGTGTTGATTGCCTTTATGGTATTTCCTCCATTGAGTTTGGATTTTAAGATCTTCTTCACTCTCTTGATGTATTCACCTCTAATCTTTTTCTTGACTTCAGTGTGCTTGATGTTGTCAGCTTGAAGGATACCCAAGTATTTGTAGTATTCTTCCTCATCCAGACTCTTAATGTTATTTTCGTGGGGCATCTTGATTCCTTCAGTTTTCACTATTTTTCCTTGTTTGATAGTAAGTGTGGCACATTTGTCCAAGCCAAACTCCATTACAATATCTTGGCTATATATACGGACAGTGTTGAGCAGCGATTCTATTTCAGATGATGTTTTTCCATACAGCTTCAGATCATCCATGTAAAGGAGGTGGGATAGTCTAGCAGATGTTTTTGATGTTTGATAGCCATGTCCTGAGTTATTCAGTATTGTTGACAGAGGAAACAGTGCAATAACAAATAGTAATGGTGATAATGAATCTCCTTGAAATATTCCTCTCTTGATATTAACCTCTCCCAGCTTTTCACCATTGATCTGCAACTGTGTCTTCCATTGTGCCATCGATCTTTGCACAAATTTTCTGATGTTTCTACTTACTCCTGTTATTTCTAGGCACTTGATTATCCAATCATGTGGCAGAGAGTCAAATGCCTTTTTGTAGTCAATCCATGCCACATTCAGGTTGGTCTTCCTTCTCTTGCAGTTTTCCAAGATCATTTTGTCTATTAGGAGTTGATCTTTTGTTCCTCTGCTATTGGGGCGGTTTCCTTTCTGCTCAGGTGGAAAGAGATTGTTTTCAACTAGATGCTGTTGTACTGCATCAGCTACCACACCAGTTAGTAATTTGAATGTTGTTGGCAAGCAGGTAATTGGCCTGTAGTTACCTGGTGTTGCCCCTTTTGCTGGATTTTTCATTATTAGGTAGGTTTTCCCAGTTGTTAGCCACTTTTCAATTTCTCCTCCTTGTAGTATATTGTTGAACTGCTTGGCAATGAGTGGGTGTATAACAGTTAGATGTTTCAACCAAAACCCATGCAGTTCATCTTCACCTGGTGCTGACCAATTTTTGATTTTCTTTGCTCTTTTTTCTACCATTTTTGTTGTTATTACTAGTTCTTTCATTTCAACTTCTGTTTTATTTGCATCCACCTCTTTTAACCAAGCCGCATCCTTGTTGTATTTCTTTGGGTTATCCCATATCTGCTTCCAGAACTGCACTGTTTCTTCCTTGTCAGGTACTGACTGATTCCTTGCAGTTTCTCCATTGATGGATTGGTAGAAACGTTTCTGATTGGATTGAAATTGGAGGTTCTGCCTATAGTTTGCAATTCGAGCTTCATATCTACTGATTTTCCTGGCTATAGCTGTTATTTGTTGCTTTATTATTTCCAGTGCTTCCTTGATCTTCCTTGTTTCTAAGTGGTATTTCTTGATTAGGTATTCTTTGGTCTTCTTGTTCTTCAGCTTCTTTTCTTTCATCTGTTCTAGCTTGCTTGCATGTGATCTTAACTTGCTGATCTTATTTTCTAGTCTAACCTTCCATTTTTGTGGTGCACTGTTTGTTTGTTTTTCTTTTTGTTGATTTTGCATCCCAGGTATTCTGTTATAACTGCAGCTGTGCTGTACATTAGTTGGTTTGTTTCTTGCAGTGAATTGGTGCTTATACTTGCTATTGCAGTATTTGCATCTTTTAATGCTTGTGCTAGCTGTTTCTTTGGAACAAGCTTCAATGCAGGCAGCCTTATTCTGTTGTTTTTGTGCTGTTCTAGATGCTCAGTTATTCTTTGTTTCAATTCTTTTATTTCTTTAGTTAGAGGGTTTTGTTCTTTCTGAGGAAGAGGTGCCTGGTTTCCAAATGAGAACAGTTGTATATCTCTACTGGATTCTTTCACTGCCAACTCCCCCTGGTTTGCCTCTACATTCTGAATTACTTCTTGTAAGGCTTTGATTTCTTTGCCCTGGGTAAACCTTTGCAGTTCGTCCAATTCTGTTTCTGTAAATACTTTATTTCGTGTTATAAATCGGCGTTGATCTGCTAGTCTCTGTTCTGTTATTTCTGATTCTGGATGTTGTTCTTTCCAGAATTCGTGCATTCGTTTTAGATATCCTCGTCTTGTTGGACTTGATCTGTAGTAACAGATCATTATTTCTTTGTTTTCCATCACTGTGTATCTGCGACGGGTAAACACCTTTTCTTCCAGTAGTTCTGCAGCTGCTGGCCCTGGTTGCTCAGCCAACAGTCCTGAGTCCTGTAACCCATTTTTCACCAGATATCCAGGAACTCCAATATCTAGTGCGGACCTTGTTAACCCGGGCGACGTCCGAGCCGGTATGGCATTCTGAAATTTACGTCTCACCATATTTTTTATGGGAGAGACACTCTTTGTCTGACTCCTCTGATGAGACCTGTCCAGTATGGTTGAACCTCTGGCATAGCTCTCATCTTCCTCAGAGTACACAAGCCCCACAACCACGTCAAGGTAGTGCCTCACTGGGGGGTTATTATTATTATTATTATTATTATTATTATTATTATTATTATTATTATTATTATTATTATTACTATTATTATTAACCTTTTCTCATGCTTTTGCCCACCTGGAGCCAGTCTGTCTAACCATGTTCAATCTGTATTGTGACTTCCTGACCTGTATATAAGTTTGTCAGTGAGGCAATGAGATATTCTGAAATTCTCATTTTCCAAGAACTTTCCATAGCTTCAGAAGGATCAACACAATCAAAGGTCTTTGTATAATTAATGAAGCACATTCTGACTTCCTTTTTGATATTTGGCTTTATCATATATTGGCAGTTATATTTTCTATTCTTCAACCTTTCTAAAGTCATCTTGAACATTTGCATATCTTTTGCTAGCAAGTGAAGTAAAGATTATTGTAAAGCAATTTGCACACACTGTTTTTTATAATATGTGTTATTAATTTTTTAACATGGTCACCTTAATATTCGGTAAACAGTGTGTTGTCTAGGTTTACATTTAAAAAACATTCGCTAACAATTGGTTTCAATGATCTATAATCCACATAATAGCTTTATTTGATTTCCTCTTCTTCCCATAATGTTCTCTTTTACCAACCTTAAGTTAATACAATTCTTATTTTTTTGATAGATAACAATTGAATATGAATTTTTTTTCTAATATTTCTGCAAATAATAATCACATCAATATAATATTTCTTTTCTATCTAGTCATTCTGGTTGCATCATTCATAGATCCCGTTTACAGTTCTTGTTTACATTTGTTTTTCCCACAATATTCAAGATATTCTTACTGGTTAAGATTTTCTCAAAGTTAATTACATTTAGATATTTGATTCTATTTTTCTCATGTAAACCATCCCATAATTTTTACCTTACTTAAGGAATAAATAAGTCTAAAAAAAGAGATAAAAAGAACAAGGGTAAAGAGGGATAAAAAGATAGTATACTACTGAAAGTCCATGTTTCCCCTAAGCTAATATATATTTATTTCAAAATTTTTCCATTCTTTTTTACCATAATTAAGAATATATTTAATCTTTAAATATTCCATTTAATAAATTTAGTCATCTGGTCTTTTAAATCTTATTCAAAACATTTTTTTCAATTCATTGTAATTTTCTTAAAATTAATCACATTTAAATATTTAAAATATCTCCTTATATATAAGCCACTCTTTTATATGACTCATATCAAGAAATAAGAGAAGAAAAGAGAAGAAAGAGAGAGTACTATGTTATTTGAGGGACTCCTCCCTCTTAAAGCAAAATTCATATCCAAAATCTTTCTATTACTTTAACCATATTCAAACAGGTGTTTCTTTTTTAAATGTTCTCTCTGATAAGTCCCATCATCTATTTTCTTAATTTTCACTTTGGCCTTCTTCTTTTGCCCAATATCTTTAATCAATATATTCTGCTGAGTCAAAGAGTCTTTCTATATTCTTGTAGGTGTCACTGTAGATATAAAAAATAAGTCAAGTACAATATCTTTGTAAGAGGCATTTGCTCTTGAAAATCTTTTCCTTTCTTTTTCTCTCTGTATCTCTTATCATTTTTTTTCTCTCCAGTTCTAGTGGTGTTCCTGACGTCTCTGCAATCCATTTGACCAGTCTTTTTTCTTATCCTCAAATTTGTTTTGTGGTCGTAAAGTATAAGTTGCCTTTTCCAAAACCAATATTTCTTGTAAATTTTTTCCACTTGGGTTAAATATTATTTCTTCGTTGTGTTAAGTTCCATCTTCGAGTCACTATCCTCGAATTTGTGTTCAGTTATCTGTTTCATCTGCTCCTTCTCTATTGTTATTTCCTGGGATTTTTTTGTTGTAAAGTTAAATTGGAGATGAATTGGTTTATGTTTTCAAAATTATTTTGGATTTCTTTGCGGTTTGAAATCATTATTGTTTGAATTAATTGTAGCATCTCATATGTCTCCTCTTGAAAAGTATTTATTTTTTCTTGATAAGTTCTTTCTTCAAGTCTCTGATTTTCCATAGTGGTCAAGAATCGAGGTTTTCTTTTCTCTGCAAATAGCTTTAGAGTCACAGTTTAGTAGATTATTTATAATACAAAAAGATTCAAAAAGGTTTCCTGAAGTTTATAATCCTCTCTTTGTCTGCAACCCAAATTGTTTTCTTTTTTTGTCACAGCTGTTCTCTATTGTTATAGCTTTGAAGGTCACAACCACAGATTAGTTTTTTTCCAGATTTTGCCATGTCCTGTATAAAAGCCATAGCTGTCATAGTCTTTATCTACCACTAGATGTCAATACCAGTTTATTTTTCAAATTATTAAAATAGAAAATTGCCTTTAAAATGAGAATCTTAACCATTCAACAATTCCAAACTTATCCAAATTTAGGTTTTATATTCATTTCATTTCTGTATGTTTTGGTCCTCCAAAAAAGGTTTAATTCGCCACTTCCATTAGTAAAAGGGTGGGGCAAAAATCCCCTTCCTTCACGTTTGAAGGTTTTTTGCTTCTTGGGAATTTTTTTTTCCAGGAAAGTTAATAAGTAGGATAGAGAAAATAGATGATCTTATCCAGATTCAAATGCACTGTTTATAATCAGCTTAAAGTAGTGCTTTTTGACTTCAGTTGCTTGTAGCTTGGGCTAGACTGTGAAGTTAGGCTAGCCTTTCTCCTGTTGGTTTCTGGAACGCTTCTCCTGGACCGATTGGGTCAGCTGCCATCTCTCCGTGGTCCACAGGACTTCCTTCCTTCTTTGCCGCCTCTTCGGGGTGGCTTCTGGCCCATTTAGGGTCCCCTAACAGGAAGAAATTCAGCCAAAGGGCACAGAGCCCCAAAATCCCTTGGCTGCTATGCTACTGCGTAAGACTGAAAGTCAATTTGCACACACTGTTAAGTCTCTTCATTTGTTCATTCATTCATTTATATTTCAAGATAGATTGATCTTTACAGGCCACTGTAGTTGGCCACTGTGATGTTCTCTAGATTTGTTGGCTTGCTTGGTTTAGTCAACTTGATATTCTTGACTCATTCAAGCACCATAATTTAGCTTCACAAACTTATTGTGGAGATTTAATAAAACTATGCAAATAAAATTCTTTCTCTAAAAAAAAATATGAAGATATATGCAATTGCATGTAATTTAAACCAGCTTGTTTTCTCTCTCAGATATCAGCCTAAAGGATATAGTTGTTTGGATCGTGGTGGTTTTTTCATCAATTGCCGCTTGTTTGATCTTGATCTGGATACTGGCTTTGAAAAAAACCAAGTAAGCTACAATTGTAGATGTTGTAAGATGCACAAAAACAAACCTGCCATAAAATCTAAATAGCAGTGAAGGAAAAAGGCTATTGTTCCTCTCTTATAGACTATTGTCTATCTGAAAGCATTGCATTCACTTAAAACAGTGATTCTCAACCTGTATCCATGGACCCATGGGGGGGGGGCAATGTCATCACAGGGGGTCTGGAAAGTCTTGAAGAAATATTATGATTTAAATGTTGAGCTAAGACTTGGAGGTCTATGGCCACAAAAGATATTTAAAGGGGGCCCATAGTGAAGAAAAGGTTGAGAACCACTGACTTAAAGAATACTTTCCAAACTATAAGCATTTGAGAATGGGGTGGATAAAGATATGATTGATTTGATATGAAGCTGGCATATTATGACTTGTAAACATGAGTTTTTGACTTAGCATGTTGTGTAAATCCAATTAATTGTGTTTATTCAGTAATTCATGGCTAAACAAAATATGACTTAATGTTTTGTAGAGAATTCCTTTGTCTCAAAACACAAACTCACTGTCAGATTTCTGCATCAAAATCTTGCACATTAACTCTGATATGTGACTTTAAGAATGCCTTAAATACATTCATGCTACCTCATTTTTTTACATTTAAACAGTAGGAATGGACTTCCTACTATAGACTTCCCACTTGGCACAAAATTGATGTGATTACTAACAGACCAGTAAACTGGAGAGAAAGCTTTGAAATTTCTCTCTGTCCACTCCAATTCCAGTTCTGACTTCTTTGCCATAGTTCATATTTAACAGGAAATAATCAGTTACTTGAAGAGCAGGAGGCAGAGGAAATTTTAATCATTTTGGTGCCAGAGATCATTTTATATAAAGATGATCTTCTGTGGGCAGCTTATACCTATATTGCCATTGAATGATAATCTGGAGTTTTTAATCATTTAGTATTTTCATCAAACTATTATTTGAGCCCAATAGCCCAATATCTTGAGCGAAGATATTTATCCCTTCTGAAACTTCTTATTTCAGAAAGTCTAGAAGAGGATTTCTCAACTTCAGTAACTTTAAGATGTGTGAAAGATAGTGTTGTTTTTTTTATGTCTTCCTTTTGCATTTCAGGATGATAGCTCGCCTTCTACCACCAATTCCAGGTCCAAAAATAAAAGGCTTGGATGCTAAACTGTTACAGGTGAGCTGTTAAAGGAGAGTTTGGATCTTCACCAGCAGAATGTGAAAATCCTTTCTTTGGTCATGCCTTGTCTATGTTTGCTATAGTTTGGTCACATGTTCTTTGACCAAAAAGAACATCAAGCAAGAAACATTTTGCCTTCCAAATGGGTAACTTTTCTGCTGTTATTATTCTGCTATTATGATGATAGCAATAGCATTTAGACTTATATACTACTTCAACAGTGCTTTACAGCTCTCTCTAAGTGATTTAGAGCCAGCATTTAGCTCCCAACAATCTGGGTCCTCATTTTACCGACCTCGGAAGGATGGAAGGCTGAGTCAGCCTTGAGCTGGTCAGGATCGAACTCCTGGCAGTGAGCAGTGAGTTAGCCTGCAGTACTGCATTCTAACCACTGCACCACATGGCTCTTGATAACTTCTCCACTAGGAGAACCTTTGCACAACTTCATGATGTTGCCCAGCTGTATCATTTCCTGGGTTGTGAGTTCTTATGCTCATCGCTCATATCTTGATCATATCGCATTTGGACTACTGCAATGCATGCTACATAGGTCTACCCTTGAAAAATATTTGGAAGTTTCAGCTGGCACAGAATGCATCTGTGCAGACTGTTCTTGGGGACCCTAGAGTAGCCCATGTATTGTGCAAGCTGTAATGGTTGCCTGTCTGCTCCTGGGTCCAATTCAAAGTGTGGTTTATTACTTTAATGCTCTGGGACCAAGTTACTGAGGAACCATCTCACCCCAGTGGGATTGGCCTGCCCCACTCGCTCTGGCATAAGGGGCATGCTGTGGGCCCCGTCAGCCAAGGAATTCCAGCTAGCAGGGTCCAGGAGAAGACCCTTGTCTGCTGTGGCTCCCTCCCTCTGGAACATCATGCCCCTTAAAGTGAGATCAGCCCCCATTTACAAAGGCTTTCAAAACCTGGCTTTGCCAATTGGCCTGGGGTCCCAAAAGGGGCTTTCCATTCTGGAGACTGTTATTGGATTAAGAAAAGACCCCATTTCTATCCCATTTGTATTCTGGTTCTTATCTAATTTTTGCTAATATTTAATATTTAAACCTTTGTAGTTCGGCTTTTATGATACGGTAAGCCACCCAGAGTCACCTGACAGTAAGATGGGTGATATATAAATTTAATAAATAAGTAAATTGCTAATTTGCCAGAACTAAAAAGAAACAAGATCTATATTTTCATATACACACACGTTTCCTTTGAGTGGGATTTTCTTTGAAGAAGAACCAGTACAGAAATTCTATTCTGGATTGGGAACATGGAATGAGAATAGGGAGCTTTATCTTGTGCTTGCAGTCTAAATTCTGCCTACCATATCTCATTTTTTGATACAATATTTGATAAAGAGTATGCCACAAAGCAATAGTTTGTCTCCCTGGTAACTACAATATTGAGTCACTGTACATTTTCAAGAGACGAACATATAATGTGTCTTATAGGACTATACAGATATTTGAAAAGAGGTGCCTTGGAACGTGCAGAAATATGTACCAAGCATCTTTTAAAATGAAAAGTTAGTTACTTTCCCCAGGGAAACGAAGCAGCTATGCAGGGAAATGCTTGTGGAAACACTTAGAAGCAATTTCTGAAGCATCCCACAAATTTAGAAAAAGATGCAGCTGCTTTAACAGCTTAATACTTCACATGTGCTCACATGTCCTGAACATCTCTTTCAAATAAATTATTTCCTCATTCTGATCCTCATAACTCATAACACTCATAAAACAGATTTGTTGGTGTTTATTTGATATTCTATGCCAGTTTACTGCCTATTTATATACAAGGGATGCAAAGGTATAGCTTCAGGGCCCTCCAAAATTTCAGATGCAGCTGCTGGAGCACTTCCCATATAGCAGTTGTTATATGTAAAATTTTTTACATAAAATTAAATACAGCATTAACCTATCTCCAGAAACTTTGTGAATTGCAGTCCTTATCATAACTCAACAATCATGTTCCCTTTTCTGCTTCATAAAATGTAACCCGCTTTAAGATCTGTATCTCCTCTGCTGTAGGTCCAAATGTGTTCAGCTCATTTTTATGCAATATATCATTTTTATAGTAATCCAGGGTGCATTTCATCTTTCTCCAGGCAGGAAAAACTGAAGAATTGCTGAGTGCTCTTGATTGTCAGGGTTTTCCTCCAACTTTAGACTCTGATGATCTGCTCATAGAATTTTTAGAGATAGATGACAGCAAAGATCAGCAGCTAGTGCCAAATCATGGAAAAACTCACCCCAATAAACATGTAAAGCCAGCACACCAGGAAATAGACTGCCATTCAGGAAAAGGAAGCAGTGAGAGTCCATCTCTAATGCAAGAGAAATATAAGGAAGTCAGAAAACTTCCCCCTGCAGCAGAGGTACCGGATTCTGATGAGGTTCAAAGGAACGGTGATAGAAAAAAACTCTCAGAAACATTAAAACTAGACCCTGAAAAGTGTCTCCCACAGTTGACTACTAAGAGCCTAAAGTCATCTACGTGGCCTGGAGACCAGCCTGGGCACTCTCACAGTCCGAAGTTTTTCTCTCATGATGCCATAGAGATCTGCAAAAGGGTACTCAAAGCGACAAATGTAAAAAGGTCACCCATTTTGGGGAGAAGTGAAGAAAAGCACTGTTCTCAACCTCCGGAACCCATTGAGACAGGCCAACTGGAAGATGGAGCCAATTTGTCTCTAAATGCTCAGCATAATCAAGAGGCATTCTGGTTAGTGCCTCCAGAGCAGTTGCCTTTTACATCTACAAAGCCAATGGATTATGTAGAAATTCACAAAGTCAGCAGTGATGGAGTGTTGGCTGTGCTACTCAAGCAGAAAGAAAGCCTTGACAAAACTGAAAAGGGTCCTCTGCCTTCAGATGCACAAGAATACTCCAAGGTTTCAACTGTTGTAGCTAATCATATTCTGGTATTATTACCCGAGACCAAAATGGAGGACTTGCCTTCTTTTCAGGAACCCCCAAAGGAGTCCAATCCGGAAAGCCAGGCAGAGATAAACACTATCTATCGCCTCCCAGTTCCCAACACGTGCAAAATACAGACTGGTGGTTTAGATTACCTGGATCCAAATAACTTTATGCCAGCCTTTCAATAAACAAATTGAAATTCCCAGGTGATGTAAGGGAAAAAAAAACATTCTTGGCACAAAATTGCTCATCTGTAGCTCACATCTTTTTATGTTTTGTATTCAGTCATTAAGAACAGACAGAAAAATTCATATTGATGACTGTGATTAAGGGAGTTGTTTTAGTGAAATCTGACTTTAGGAAAAGTAGGTGTCATTTGATTTCAAACTACAACCTATTGCATTTATTTCTGACATGCCTTAGCAAAAATGACAAAGTATTAAAAATTTCTGGTTAAGGACGATTAAGCGCCCTCGGATGAAGGCTACACTACATACGCAACCCACCATTTTACTTCTCATTTATTGAAACTTGACACCTGACACCATGCAGAAGAAATAAACAAGAGCCCTGCACTTTCAAGTGCCGCAGAATTGTATCACCCTCAAATTTCTGGTGTCTCTTTTCTACACCTGTCCCTCCTCCTCACCATTTGAGAAAGGGGCACCTCCTGCCTGCTCTCCTTTATTCCCACCAGATGCAAAAGATGGATGGCATTAGAAATGACTGATGACAAAAGGTTGAATAGCTGCCATTTATATTTAAGAGGAGAATATTTGTAGTTCAGAGTTGAAATGAGAGGCCCTTGGTGTTCTCTGAATTAGGTTGTTTTCTTGCGGACATTTCATTACCCAATGAAGTGCTCAGTGGAAGCATTAAACCGTCTCAAGGAAGCATGGGAGTATTGGGAGGCCCATGGCAGTGAGCAGGGAATTTGCTGTTGATGCCCAAGTTGGGTCATTCTTTTGCCAGCCAAAAACAGGATGCTTTCCTGTTGCCTCAGTAGAATAAATATGACACTTAACAACCAAACAAGTCCCTGAATTCCATGGCATAAAACCAACACCCATCACATGCTGCATGATTGTATTCTGTTGTTATTCATGCAGGCTCTATGATATGCTGCTAATGAAAATTTGCAAATTTATGTCACATGCTGCTATGTATGTTAACACATTTTAGAAGCTCTAAAAAGGACGGGTGTTGTTATTTCTCTGCTTTTTCCTATTTAAAAGAGTCCTATTTTTTATAAATGTTTACAAACTTACCTCATTTTAAGCTACTAAAATATACCTAAGTAGGGAGGAGTGGGAGGAAATTGTGCCTTCTGTATGGCTTTGGTGTGCTAGGTTCTTGAATTCCTTTTTGGCTGAGCTCATTCCAAAGATCTCCCTTGTCAAAATAAGTGATTTTCAAATTCCAGCCTTTGGGAAAGGGGGAGATTTAAACTAGCCCACTTCTGTGTCACTCTAACTTAGTTTAATTCAATTTCATATATTGCCTTATTGTACATAATAAAAAAGTTACTTTAATTGTAGCCCCCTGTGTACTTTTGCAGATTATTTTTCTATTCTAAATATTTATTTTCCAACTTCCCAGAGCTGTATGTATTTATCTGGAGTTTTGTTGTCTATTTTTTGCCTCTGCAAGCAAAGCAAAATAACAGAGGACGTTACAATTTTCTATAATAAAAGGTAGCTGTTAGAATAGAGCTGATTTTGCATCCAGTTATATTTATGAGGTCTTCGGCTTTTCTGGTTCACTGAGTGGGCTGGCATTCCAGGCTCTACTGGGGTGGGAAACACTTCCAGCAATGGTGTTGAATTCTGAAACCATTTGAATACAAAACACACAAGCTTAAAGAAGGGGGACAAACAGAAATTTCTTTGTGCCAAGAAGCATGTATTCTCAATGGGAGTCAGAAGTTCAAGAGTGAAAGCTCTAGCTGTAAACATGCCCACATTTTTGTAATGTTGTGGTCCTAGTAACCATTCTGGCCTACAGAAGCTATTGGAAAAACCTATCCATAAAATAAAAAGAGATGATAGAAGTAGGCGGGGTTCTTCTTTTATCTTACTGTGCGTGCTGGTCAGGATTCAGCTCTTGGCAGAGAAGGAACTGGTGATTCCATCCTGATTATCTTCTTATATACAATGTACTAGGACTGCAATTCTCTAATTTCCCAGCCAGCTGGCATCAGGCAGTTGTTTGTTTGGCTACATTTCTCCAAGCTGGAAGGCATCAGCTTGGGAAGACTGCTATACATTAACTAGCCGTGGTTTATCAAGGCCCAAATGCAATTTACAGATGTTCCTATCCTATTGTGCTCTTTTTTTTTCTGCCAGTTCTGATTCAATGTGACAAAAGAAAATTTGTTTTAGACATTAATTCCAAGGAGAAATTTAGAGAAATTCTTATGGTTGGAAGGTGGTGTATTTGCCTTAAATTTTGTCAGAAATATCCTATCTTTCATTGCACAATCCTCCCTCCATAGCCTCCCTGTCTATCCAAAATTAAATTAAGCCTAAAAGCAACACATTATGAAAGAACATCTGCCATTAGACTGTTCCGCTAATTGATATTGTCACTGATAAGAACGAGTCTGTCCATCAAGAATAAGGTGACCAACTTTTTTACAATGAAAAGGAGGCCACAAATAAATTGAAGAAAAAATATTGTAAATAAAAGAAACATTTTATTCATTGCAAAAACAATACAGATAACTTGCATGTGCAAAGTTTGCCAGCCGGGTGTTTTGGCGCACTCAGCAGCAATTCCTATTGGCTTTTGAAAGCCAATAGTGGGAGTAGCACAGTTCATGCAAAAGTTGAAAAAAGAAACCATCAAAAAAAGGTGCTGGAACGCCATTCTGGGCATTCTATGAGGGGAAAAAAAGCCTTGCAGATTAGTCTTCAAATATCGAAAAGGAGGACATGAAGGGGGACACTTTTTGAGGAAGGACAGAACTTACAAAAGGAGGACTGTCCTCCCTAAAGGAGGACGGTTGGTCACCTTAAGATTCAAGAAATTGTTGAAGAATGCCTCCTTCCCTTGGAGATGTTCAGAAAAATCATCTACCTGCCTTCTCTGCTGACATGTTTAGTGGAGAATTTTAAAATGTCATTTGTACCCAGTTGTAACTTCTGCATTGATGTGAGTATTATGTGATGCATATTAAGATAAGTTATAAAAATATACACTGGATCTTATTTTACCCTTTCACAAGATTGTGCATGTTTTCAAGCACAATGAAAACTCTTATTTAATATGCGGAGAGATTCTGCTAAGTCCACTATATCAAAACTAAATTTATGTCACTTTTGTTAACTTATGTCATTTGCATCATTCAATAATTGTTATAAATGGGAAAAAAGTCTGAATAAAAATTTGTCAGTTGCATCCAAAGTCCGCTGAACTGAGAATCATTATAGTTGCTACATATAAATAAATAATATGTAAGAGTTTAAAATGTAATAATGTAAGAAGTTATTTTGTTCAATATTCTACATAATTTATATATTGAATAGAGTTCTTTTGTACACAGTTCTATAATTATCTCTCTTTTGACTGAAATTCTACTTTTTTTTGCTTGTCTGCTTTCAGTCAAGTTTGCACTTTTATATTTTTAGTACAACTGGCTTGTAACAGATATGTATTGTAAAACCTATTAAAACCTATTCAATGTCAGATAAGAAGAGAACAAAGAGAGGACTTGAGATTATACAATTTCTCTTTTCTAGGAGACTGTACGAGAGCAATCTTTGGTGGGTTTAAAGCTCTGGGAAACCAGGGAATGACCATCTTGCTGAATCCACAGTTGGTTGGCACTTTCAAAAAAATCACTGGGATTGCATACTTGCTTTTCTAATCACTTTTGGATATTGCTTCTTAACTGTTTTTCAGCTACTATTTTAGGAATCTTTGGATTTACAGCACCTAATGAGTTTCCTTCAATTCTCAGTGAAAAAAAAGTTTTAAATACAAGTTTAAGGACTTTAAAAAATTCATTTAGAATAAATAGCAAAAGGGTGATTTGAACTTTGATTTTGGAAAATTACAAATAGACTAATGATCCAGATGAATTTAAAATAAGATTTTGGAAGAAATCGTAAGAATCATTCCAGCAAGAAAATGTTTTTATTTTGGATTCTGTTAAAAAAAATAAGTTGAGACTTGGAAGATTATAAACTAGAGAGGTCTAGAAGGAACTAAAGATTATAAATAAAGGAGAAGAACACTTAAATTTGACTCGCTAACACAGAATGAAGCAATACATTTCAACATTGGACATATTGAAGGCTATTTTTTAAAAATGGCTGCAATCTATAAATAGACTGTTTCAAAGATGTTATGAGAGAGGAACAATTTCTATCTGACAAAACAAATTGATATGAAAGCGTATTTTTAAACTATCAGGCTACAAGAATTATATGGAAAAAAGATGCTATATTAGACATAACAAAAGAAGCTGACTGATGTTTTAACTATGAAAAGGGCATACAAATAACAAACTAAGACAATGTCTTGGAGAATTTTTATATATTGAATTTACAAATGAGGCCTGTTAAAGCTTTGAAGAATTTTGTGAGACTGGACAAGGAAAAAATGAAAAAAAAATACTGTTAGTTCTAGAACTTATTTGAAAGGACTCAAGATTATTAAAAGCAAGGCTTTTTTTGTCATAGAATGCCCAGAACGGAGTTCCGGCACCTTTTTTGGATAGAACCTTGTTGGGTAGGCAAGGCGGGTTGTATGACGTGTGAGTTCTGGCACCTTTTTTTTTTTTTAACAAAAAAAGCACATTAAAAGTGAAAAAGGAAGGAATATAAAGTTGATTTATTTGATCATATTAAAATAGTTATGTTGTTATCTCTGGTAATCCTTAATTGACTTTTGCTGATCAGGACTGAAAAAAAGGCTTTGAGGATTTGTTTATAAATAAGAGATGGAATATGGGAAGAAGAGATTTATTTTAAGAGAGGATGTATTTTATTATAATTATCTTTACTTGTGATGAAGGGGAAAGCTATTTTTATGTATTTCTTTTATTTTATTTTATTTTTTATTTTCTTTCTTTTCTCCACTTTTTTATTTTAAAATTTATATTAGTTTTTATCTTTTTAACTGTGATATACTAAAAAAAACCCAAATCCAGTGCCCTATGCCAGGGATTACAATATATTCTCTAGAAGTACCAAAATATTTTGACAATCCTAAATGAAACAGTAATTACAAATTAAATTAATAAGTATTATTGAATGAATGTGTAAAATGCTCAAACGTTCCTGTTTTTGCAAATGTTCAGGGTTCAAACCAAAGGTTTCCTGAAAATTTGATGATGATGTAAGGATAGGGACTTTAAAATCACATGACATTTGTTTACCTTGTAAAAATCTCAGCTTACTCTATTAGTGGTTGTGATTGAATTGATGGGTCAGCCTCATGAAGAATGTACTGACCTCCATCTTTTATTTACCGTAAATGCCGGCGTATAAGACGACTTCTGCAAGCGCTGAAATCGGCGCCAAAGACGGGGGTCGTCTTATACGCCGAGTCGTCTTATACGCCGGAAATACTGGTAGTTTCCGGCGTATACGTTCTAGGAATGCGGCCCAGCTATAAAGACGGGGGTCGTCTTATATGCCGGGTCGCCTAATACGCTGGCATATACGGTATGTTTTTTATATTTTTCTGGATTTTAAATAATTGACATATCGTATCATTAATGACATATCATTAATAATACGATATGGTACCTAGATTGTTCCAAATTATAGATTGTATTTAGTAGTACATGGAATCTATGCAAGAAGAAAAAAGATTGCAGTTTCTAACTGCTGAATATTTTAAAAGGAGCGAATTGAATCTTTTGTAATTGCTTAGATATTTTTCTGAATCACAGAAGCATCATTATGTAAGTCAAGAGAGCTGTAAATAGTTCACTCTATGTGCCAAATTGAACTGTGTTTGTTTTTTAAGAGCAATCTTCAGCCCTTTGAGGCCTGAATCTTTTGCCAATAGCTTTTTACATGCAGAGACTGCCTTTCCCCCATTCCAGTAGGAAGCGAATGTGCACATGAATCAAGCAATTGTTTAAACTTCATAATGGGCCTAAATTAGCTTTGAGTGTCTCCGCTGAGGAGTGACTAAACTAAACTAAAATAATCAGATTCTGTGTATTAAATTATGACTGGCTAATGGCAATCTTATTGGTGTCTAAACAAATGATGTAGAAATAGTAACAAATATCACACATAATCCATCAGAATTGGCTGCTTCTACCTATATTTTCAGTAGGTTTATCCTGGGTTTCTCTTAGAGGCTGTGTTCAATCCATCAGATTTTAGAACAAAAAATATAGAATAAAAAGGTCGGAAGGAACCTTGGAGGTATTCTATTCCAACCTCCTGCCCACCATGGCAGGAGATTCTACTGAATTTCATCATCAGCTTTTCCTGATCAGTTGCTATAAAGATTCCACAGGACAACATACTCTAAATTCAGGAATAAAAAACTTTGTGCAGTTTGGAAAAAAAA